GCATTTGATCCTGCGACTTCCAATTTAAGATATTCACTTTCATCGTCGGAGCATATGGCATGTCCTATGCATGGCGATGCATTTTCGAGAAGACAAATTGCCTCGTCTATTGACTGTAGAGTAATTTTGGTAATACTTTCTCCTTTGATTTGGCTAAGGGATACTTCTTTACCACATGTGCTGATGGTGATTGTGGGTGTTGTTGTCATATCTATTTTCAGTTCCAATGTAAGATGGTGCCCATCAATAGTGACGCCTTCATTACGATCAGGATTTAGAAGATGCGTCAATGTAACTGATTTCGTGGAGGCGAGGGAGGAATTGAGAATCCAACCAGGTCGATCACCACAAAGTAAACGGATGTTTTCAATTGTTGTATCGTTTAGTTCGTGAATTGTGGTATTATTTCTATGTATTCCGTTAATCGAACGCTTCTTTAAGTTTAAAAACCTGGAACCGTGATCCCTCTTTTGTTTTTTTACTTTTCCTTCCCAAACATCTTGAATTAGCATTCCTAACGAGATCGCGTTCAAATTTACTTCTTCCTCTAAAGCGGCATTCAATATATCATTTATAGGCACAATCTCATTTATGCAATACTTATAGTTCGAAATTATCCTGAAAAAAAGGTATATGAAAATTACTTATTACCGTAAATTAGTCACCCGCTGTCGGCACTTGTAAAGGGATATGCATATAGCACATAAATCTGTGTTCATGAAACATTGACATACGGCTAATCAAGTTGGTATTTAAGTAGAACAAAATATCTCCAAATTTGGTAGGTACTCAATCACCATCAAGGGGGGGGGGGAGGGGGGGTTAGGTCGAGGTACAAAATGTTCTGCAGATGACAGCAACATGCTAATCTTGTTTTTTTATTTTGTAATAATTAATAGAAAAATGTGGGGAAAAGCTTTTGACTTTTGTGTTCGCGGCATTCCAAGGCAAATAGACTATGACAGATAATTCATATGTTCCGGAAGTGCAAAAATTGAATATTAATTATGACACATGCGTGCGCATATCGAACTGAGCATTCTTTTTGAACTATTGGGAAGAACGCTTTCAAGCTTTTTACAGTTGTTCGACTTTTGGAGATTTTTTTGAAATGAAACGATTATTTTCGGGTTGAAAAACATTACAAACTACAAAGGTGATAGGGTAAGATCGATTGTTGTTGTTTTTACGAATACTTTTCTTGTTTAAAGATATTTTAGTCATGTTTTTTAAAGTTTCATGGATTCGATCATTGACTTGCAAAAATAACTTCTTTATATCAGCATTGTGTGGGTTTTTTAAGTTTAATCTTAACTTTTTTCTTTTGTTTAGGTTAACCGTTTGTGAAAAAATGGATTGTAAAAACGTTTGGACCTTTTGTTGAATGTTTTTTTCAATGCACAAGTACGCCGATTGAAAGGCATTTTTCAGTGGAATCTTTATACATGTTTGATGCTTAAATTGATCGGGCATTTATATTCTTGTGTGAATATTATTAAACGGCATGCTTTTATTCAGCTTTGAAAAAGCGATTTGGGATGGTGCGAGTATTAGTAAAAAAACAAAAGACGTCTACATGCAGCTTGGAGGCAGAACTGATAGCTATATACTTCAGGTAAATGTGTATAAATATCTAGTATGAGGCGAGTTTCCTACTTTTGGTAGCAAATAAAGTCTAATTTTTTTTTCTATCCGAGGCTAAACAATATTTAAGTCTTCTTTTTTAAAATTTTTAAACGCAAGCCTTTTGCAAAGGCAAGATGCTTCGCGCCGGAGCGAAAGTTAGCCAGGGCCGGCATAATTACATGCATATACTAGGAGTATAAACGTAGAGCCAACGTAGGACTGATTTAAAATTATTTTCATCCAACTACCGACGCTTTAGAGGTTTTGTGTGTATGTCAACTTACCACAAAAATGTGTTAACATCGTTGCAAAACCCACTTGGCGTCTTGGTCGCCATATTCTCGCACTTTATTTTCCGTTTTCAGCGTTTTCACTGTTACGAAAAACGATGGAAATTTGTCAATTTTGTTTACTATCAAGCTTCGTAAAGACACGGAATAAACAGGTATGTTATTCAATGCTATTTTTTGTTTGTTTACAAACAGTATATAATATATATCAGCTATATCCTTTGCTACTCTATACGTAGTTCGCCTTTGTGTTTCAGTGTCGCTAATATTAAAATGTTTTTTTATGTTTTCAAATTTGATAGTATTCAGTCAATTATAGTAAACATACCTGAATTATACGTCCACGGAGTTTCTACTTCACATTTTTCCTTTTGACCTGTTTTACAATGACTTAAAAAGTTGTATACGCACGGTATTTTTCGCAATTTAATTTCCGACAAAAGACGCTATATAGACAATTTTGTTTGCTTTGTATTTTATCTACTATCTTGTTTCTGGTTGAGTAGTTCGCCCCCCCCCCCTGTTTCCAAATTTTCACTGCAAGAAACGTCATAAACTGTCTATTTTGTTGACCAATTGGATCAGTGAGATGCTTTTGAAAATATGACGAATACGCCAACCTCTGGCATCCCGCATAGAGACAAAAAATCTCCTCAAAACCTCGCGAATATATGCAATTTTTCTTAGCTCTCCGGCAATATTGAAGCGAATTTTTGGTGTGAGTAGATAGTAAAATTATCAGGCTATCATGTGTTATTATTTTTTATTGTGTTTTACTTCTACAACAAAGTGTTTTGCTTTTTGTTCGAGTGGTATGTTCGTAATCCAGTATATATAGTTGCCAACCTTATGTTATTATATATTATCAATTGCTTTTCAATATGGCGGCGCTTGCGGCGCGCGACAAAGTTAAGAGGAATAGGGCGAGTTTTAACACCGATCGACATTTAGAACATTCTACAACAATTTTTGGGCTGCCTATGGTCGCACGAAAAAAGATTCACGCTGAATATTTTTGGAGTGTCGGCGGCAGTTTAATAGTTATACCAATAATAGAAATCAAATCAATTAGTAAAAAACACTTTACAATGAACTTTCAATGGATTCCCAGCAGGACGGCTCATGGTTAACACAAAAACGGTTATATATTTAAGTTTTCAAATTGCTCGAGCAAATTGTACTAGTTGTTTTTTTCAAGTTCTAGCTGCTTTAAATGCATGCATGGTCAATTTTGGGCTATATAATTATTGAAAAATAATAGCCAAAAATAATAGCCAAGCAATGTCAGAATATTCTTACTGTTAAAATGTTTATCCTACCTTCGCATTATGAAGTAAAATATCCCATTTCATACCAAAATTTTCGTATAATATTTTTGGAAATTATATGCCCACATTCGATCAGCTCGATTCTTTTTCAAATTTTTATTTCGCTCATGATGAATCTTTAAAGCCCTCTTTCCTTCATCAGATATACAGAAAATGAATCCAACAAATGTCTTCAAACCATCAAGTTGTTTAGGAATGTGAAGAAAACATTTTTTACTTTAGTTTTTTCAGCTCTTTTTTGCATAAACATTCCAATTCCATTTCTATTGACATTATAAATTAATGTATACGGGGGGTATGCGCATCACAAAAAGATCAGGGGCGCTATCTTCGTTTCACCGCCCGTGTTTTATAGCGCCCTGGCAAAACGCTATGATGCGAACGCGGCATCCGTGATACGGGCTAGCACGTATCAATTCATTAGTTACCGCGGCAACTGCATGGCCTGTAAAAAAGTTTAAAAAATGTAGATTTTGCATATATTTTTTCTCTTTTTTTTTTAACAAACGCAAAGGTAAAAGATCTTTTTTGGCGGTACCAAACGCAGAGATATATGCCAAGGTGAGTACGTGTATATTTTTAATTTTCCCTATAAAAACAATCATTATAACTTCGGTTTTTCACAACGTTGACAAAACAATTACGCACGTATATTACATCTCTCCCCGTGTGGTTATATTTCGAACCCTGGAACTTGGCGACAAAGCTGTCACTTGTCTGCTAAGGCATATAGTTATACTCTCATATGTAATGTTGATTCCACTAGGACGTTCACAAATCCCTGCGATATACAAATTTTGTAATAAATATATTTTTTAACAGCTCACCTTGCGCGACTACGAAAAGATGTCAATTTTTGTTGTTCTAAATCCGAACCCTGTAACTACAGTTTTAAAAGAGTTTGGGATTTTAAGGTTACATATTTTGAACAAGAATAGACTAATGAGTTCCACTATCGCTTTTTTAAACTTCATTTTGGCAAAACAAACTCAAAAATCAATATTGAATGCGTGTGCACTGTCTTTGAAAACACAAATGTCGCTATTTTTGTTTTTCGAGTATACACTTACTTCGAACCCTGTAACTACAGTTTTAAAACAGTTTAGGATTTTAAAGTCACATATTTTGACTTAGTTAAAGTTTAATTTGAATAAGGGGTGTCAAGTTGATGTAAAAATCGTTTGAACTTTATTGGAAGTATATTAATACAGTACGTACCCATGCACATAAACAACAGCCAGGGCAATGGCGACATTTGTGTTGTCAAAAACAGTATGCACGCATTCAATGATGATTTTTGGGTTTGTTTGACCAAAAAAGAAGTAAAGAACGGTAGTGGAACTCGTGCTTGTTCAAAATAGGTAATTTTAAAAACCTAAACTGTTTAACACTATAGTTGCAGGGTTCGAAATATGAAGTGCATACTTCGCAAACAAATCTGGCGACATTTGTGTTGTCAAAAATAGTATGCACACAGTCATTGATTATTTCTAGCCTTATTAACGCAAAAAGAAGTTTAAAAAAGCGATAGTGGAACTCATTAGTCTATTCTTGTTCAAAATATGTGACTTTAAAATCCTAAACTGTTTTAAAACTGTAGTTATAGGGTTCGAAGTAAGTGTATACTCGAAAAACAAAAATAGCGACATTTGTGTTTTCAAAGACAGTGCACACGCATTCAATATTGATTTTTGAGTTTGTATATCGCAGGGATTTGTGAACGTCCTAGTGGAATCAACATTACATTTGAGAATATAACTATATGCCTTAGCAGACAAGCCGAAGTTATAATGATTGTTTTTATAGGAAAAATTAAAAATATACACGTACTCACCTTGGCATATATTCTCTGCTTTTGGTACCGCCAAAAAATATCTTTTACCTTTGCGTTTGTTAAAAAAAAGGGGAAAAATATTTGCAAAATCTACATTTTTAAAACTTTTTTACAGGCCAGTTGCCACGGTAACTGATGAATTGATACGTGCTAGCCCGTATCACGGATGCCACGTTCGTTTTGCCAGGCGTTTCCAGTCCATTCCTTTGATTGTCTATGGTCAGCTGTAGGCTAAATACAATCTATTAAAGTACTTCGCGATATAGTAAGACACATCCAATAAGCCAAAAAATCTAATGTAGTGTTTTAACTACTCTTACGTCCTTTCAAGCTCAAGTAGCCATCATTTCCTGAGGAGGGAATCGTCTGAGTTATGACAGTTTCTCAGCTTAGCTATATGATGAAAAATAACTAAAGAAAACTTTCTCATTTATACTCCAGTATATGCTGTTGTGCTTGTGGGATGTATATGCACGAATATATGAATATCTGCCCCCGCAATTATCGATATTCCAGCGCCTCTGATGTTCACCGACTAATCTAAAGTGATTAGTTCATCCAAATTTTATGCACTTGTCTTTTTTTAAGCAAACGCTGAGACGTTACACACACATTACACTACACGTTACACCTGCTTTACATAATAATCTATAGTAAAATATATGGAAATATAACACGTTACACCCAATTTTATATAAAAGAAGAGCTATTTATTTATTTTTAATAATAAATAATAATTGGTGTAACGTGTCATATCTCGTATATGTTTTACTACAGATTATTATGTAACGTGTGGTGTAACGTGTGTGTAACGTGTCTTGTCAGTACGTAAATAGATTGATATTTTGCGCATGTGCGACCAGATTTGCTTGCGCTCATCTCGCATAATCCCAAAATCATAGGAGATGGAAGTTTACAATAAATTCTAGTGCAAGTTTACGATCGGTAAGTCCGTATCTCAACATAAATAAAAAGCTTGAATTGGGTTTAAAATCTAGTGAGTATGTCAATCTGACGTAACAATTCAGCTAAAAGTAGGAAAATCATTGAAAGTTTTCCAAAATTGTATGTAAGTAGGTCAGAATGATGCGTTGTCTGTTATGAAATTCTTGAACTTAAAGGAAATTTTCTGTTTGAGGGGAAAAATGTACTCATGATTGTCAGCCATGGGAAAAATTGTCTGAAATGTATTCATTATTTTATAATCTTCTTGCAATGTATATATTCATCAATTAATCTAACAAAAAATAACTATAGATCTCAAGATCCCTATATTCTTTTTACATGAAGTACTCAGTTACAGAAAACCGCTGAGAAAAAATAGTATATATAGCAAAAGGTTCATTAAGCAAGAAATCCAAGTCAGCGTCTTCCCTGGAGCAATAAGTTGAATCAACATGAACGAATTACGTTTCATTCAAAAGTACAAATAGAGACAATCAGGAGCAAAATTATTGAGACAACCGCATAAATGCACCCCCACCCCAATTCAATGTTGTGTGAATGACTGAAAAGAGAAAATTCAACCCACTTTTTCCGAAATTGATCAGGGGGAAGGCCGACGTACTTTAAAATGGCCAAAAACGTGAAAAGTCTCATTATTTTTGCACGCGATTGTAGTATACAAGGATCAGGTATTCTGAAATTTGATATACCTGATACCTCCTCCATTGGCGTTTTATAATATTATTATTATTACTATTTACTACTAATAGTATCTTTAGTTATAAGAATTAGGGAGTCTAAATTCGCATGCTTGCACGGGTTTAGTTCTAAAATAAAATTGCCTGTGAAGGAGGTGCAGTACAGTATTGTACTGCTCACATCGATCTTAAATTAACACAATTTATCGTCTATTTTCGTCTAACTTCTCCGCGTCTTGTCGTCTCTGCGTCTAACGTCTCTGCGTCTAACGTCTCTGCGCTTGATGTCTCTGCGTCTAACGTCTTTGCTATGTTATATTATTATATATATTGTTTCTGTGTTTCGTCTAAGGCCCCAGTTACACGATACCGGATTCGTATCGGAACGACATCAATTTAAGGTGTTTCCAGTCTTGTCTGCTATTACAACTTTTTATATATGAAGTTTTTGTTTAATTATATTATATATATATATTATCATAATTTTAAGTACCAAATTCACCTCGAAGCAGTAAAATTTGATGTCGCTGCGATGCGAATCCGGTATCGTGTAACTGGGGCCTAAGTGTCTGATAAATCATAAATCATCCGCCTTTTGACTGATATTGTGAATAAGGCTTAATTTTATTCTCGACAAAAATCCATGCCGTTTGACTGTATCATTGCACAAAAGTCAACCAAACAAATTTACTCACTGTGTCATTTTTACAAGAAACAAAAGCTTTAGGTTTTGTGTAATTAAGCTCCTCGCAGTTGGTTTCGTTATTGCTGATTGGCACATACAATGCGTTATTTACGCTAACATATAAATAAGCAGCCAAAAATGACAGACTATTAAAGAAATGCATGATCAGAGACAATAGGAAGAGATGTTAGACGACAGAACGATACTCACGATAGACGTTATACAGATGGACGTTAGATGAACAGATGATAGGCAGACGGACGTTAGACGGATGGACGATAGACGGACGGACGATAGACGGACGGACGTTAGACGGACGGACGTTAGACGGACGGACGGACGATAGACGATGTTAAGATAGATGTGAGCGATACTGTAGGTATACGGTATCTATACATTGATTACGTACTGCATAACAAGATACTGCAAGTTTTGAAGGGCGGATCTGGCCTCATTTGTTATAGGGGATCTCCAGAGACATGGGTGGCAAAAATAGTGGATCATGGGAAAGAAAGAAAATCAAAAGAAAAAATTATGGAAAATATTAAAATTAAATTAAAACAGCCAAATTAACTGATAAGTTTAACAGATGTGTAATATGTATGCCCCTGGTTTTGGCCCTCAATTGGTTAAAATTAATGCTCTTAACCTGTAACAATAACCAATAACTGCTACGTTATACATGTACAGTAGCGACAACCATTTTATTGCTTGAATATTTTCTTGCGAACTGAAAAATCAATAGTTTCAATATAATATGACATCCACAATTCAATGCCGGACATCGCTTGGAGGGGTGCTCACCCCCTGCTGTAATATTCCCTGACCTTCAATATGCTTTCTCTTTACTAGACAGTAAATACTTGCTATTGAAGACGTTGTTACAAGAGGAGGAATATGGATGGTGCTTTCAAAGAATCATCTGCCACTAGACGGAAACATTTCCATGGCAATGTACTAAAGTCACTAGCTGAGACCTTGGAGGTGTTGACTGCAGAAACGACAACTGAGGCAAAACGAGAAGGACATTGTCATCCATTTGAGATCCCTGATGAACCCATAGAACAAAATGAAATGCTTAAAGAAGAGATAAACAGAGAGTGGCATTGTCGGACTCATTCAATGAGAGAGGAAGAGCCTGGTACAGATGCATCAAAGAGTGGATTGCCAAGTTATGAAACTGAGGAACGTTTGCCTTTTCAAAGAGTGTTGGTGGACGGAGAGGAAGCCAGTGGTGTAAGTTTATAATATGTCAAATTTGACTGCGTACGTGTGGTTAAAACTAGCAGCAGAATGCAAATTTAATAGATACCGTAATGTGTTTCTTCCTCTGTCCCAGTTATGGAACTACAGTAGTTCCATAACTAGGACAAACACTGGGATTCTGAGGAACTTAGGAACAAAATAGAATATTAATTACAGGAACCTCTGAATATTGTAGAGTTACAAAAATAACTTCGAAAACAGCACCAAACATTTTCAAATTACTATTTCCCAAATTACTAGTTCTTTGTATTTGATTATTTAATATACAAAATATATTTCTTGAGATATAATAGTAATTATATCGTGAAAATGGATTTTTATTTGACAACAAGAATGGTTCACAGTTGTCACTCCCCTCACGGATCAACCGCGCAAAGTAAGGCACATCCTGAAGAAGAACGACTCGTGCAGAAAACAAATCCCAAGTCTGAAAAAATTATCGACAGCTACGAAAAATAATATCCATCGATGATCAACAACCAACGCAGGATTTTCTTTCAATTCTTTCCAAACTTACTGAGATCATATATACTGTACGAAAAAGTTTTTATCAGGTTAGCCTGCAAAGCAGGCGTTTTGGTTTTCAAGTCCTCACGACCTTGCACTCAGAATGACGACTTGGCCCTATCATGATGGATTAGCGTCTTCAGCTGACGGAGACCCCATCGACATTGCTAACTTGCCCAACCTGATCCGGTACATCTATCATTCTGTTATAACTTCTGACATTAACGACAATGAACTGACTGCTTGCCATTGAATCATAAGACACATAATCTATCGCATCACATTGAGGTTTATCACGTTCTTGGCTTATTGCTTCTCGATGAAAACAAAGCGGCAGTACCAGACAAAATTCCTGATAAACTTTTCAAAGAACTGGGCGTGGTGCATTTAGTATGAGCTTATTCATGCATGGTAAACTGCCGTGCGAGTGGAAACTTTCCAGCATAATCACAGAACCAAACCAAAGCCCAGCTTAAAAAATGTCTAGTTACAGACCAATATTTATTTTGTCCTTTGTCTTTAAAGTTTTCGAGCGTTGTATTTATTTATGAGCAAATAATATCACATGTGTCCAGCTAACTTCACAATCATTAATTTGGCTTTCTCAACGGCAGACCCCACAGTTTCTGTACGTTCCCCCAGATTTCCACAAAGCTCTAGAGAACCGAAGCCACGTCGATTCTGTTTACCGGCATTTTGTAAAAGCGTTTAACAACGTTAGTCATAACCTTCTTTTGACCAAACTCATAGAGTGATTGTGCTTGGAGGATCTTTAGCGCGAGTATTGATTTGTTATAGTGTTTGTGAAAATACGTAGAACGCTAATAGATAATTTGATACATTTATTTTACTTCACAATTGTGGAGTCGTACGACTTTAATATCTAGTGATGAGTTGAGCACGATTACTCGCTAGAGCGCAAAGCTAAGTAAGACTGTCCTACTAAGAATATTTACAAGTTATTTTATACGCGAGTTAGAAGAGGCGAGGCGGAAAAGCAATTAAGATTAGTGTCAAGATAATTAAGGCGCGTTAATACAATTAGGCTAGAAGTGATAACAAGATATAAATATGTACAAGTGTTGGCTGCCAAGAGGAAATTTTATGTTAATAGTTTTTGCGGCGTAAAGATTAAATCTAGGCGAGTCTACTTCCTAAAAGGTTTAAAATAATATGACTAAAAATCGAGAGATGAAACACCAAACACGGATTTAGCGGGGTTGATCAGCGTGTTCGAGGGCGTTCGTGCTAGCGATGAGAATGTCATCAATATACACATAAACGAAATCGAGGCCACGAGTAACTTCGTCCATAAAGCGTTGGAAGGTTTGGGCTGCGTTGCGAAGACCAAAGGGCATCTTGGTAAATTCAAACAAACCAAAAGGGGTAGTAATTGCGGTCTTACAAATGTCGTCTTCAGCCATAGGGATTTGGTGATAAGCTCGAACGAGGTCAATCTTGGAGAAGATGGTTTTACCATGGAGGCTGGCGGAGAAATCTTGAATATGTGGAACGGAGTATTGGTCAGGTATGGTGACGCGATTAAGACCACGATAGTCCCCGCATGGACGCCAGTCCCCGGGTTGAGATTTGGGAACCATGTGAAGTGGAGAGGCCCAAGAACTACTGGAGGGGCGGATAATTCCCTTGTCCAACATATGTTGAAACTCATCTTTAGCGATCTTCAGTCGTTCTGGTGGAAGGCGCCGGGGTCGCGAAGAGCAAGGTGGTCCTCGCGTAAGGATGTGGTGGGCGACATTGTGCTTAACAGCAGTTTGCTTGGTTGTTGGTCTGGTAATGTCTGGATACTCGCCGAGGAGTTTCGTGTCAATAAGGCTGCGTGTGCGTAGGTCAACGAGAGGGTTGAAATGGCGAAGAAAATCAGCGCCGATGATGGCGTGGTTGACGTCTGTGATGGTGAAAATCCAGGGAAAGGATCGTCGAAGACCGAGGTTGATGGTTAAAGATCGGGTACCGTAGGTAGCAATTGTTGAGGAATTGGCTGCCTGAAGATCATAACCTTGGCGGTGTGTACGGTCTGATGGTCGTGGTGGAAGGACGCTGACTTCTGCGCCTGTGTCGATGAGAAATTGTTGTTTTGTTGAAACGCCCGTAATGTAAAACAGGCGGCTTTGGTGAGAAACGCCAGACGACTCTGCCTCGTCTATTGTCTGGCGTGATAGTTTGACGGTGATGATGTTTGTTGAGAAAAAGAACAAGGTGGCGAGCACTTCTTAGCCGAGGCACCGAACTTGGTGTGGTACCAACAAAAAATGCAGCGGGGGCTTGACTCAGTAGTGGTGAGCTCACGGTTGTGGAATGGAGAGGACGAACGGCGTGTAGGGGACCGACTGCGACGTCTTTCGGTATGACCATGTTGCTGTGAAGTGTGGAGGCTGAAGTTGTTGATGGTGGTGGTCAGCTGAGCAACTAGGTCTCGAAGTTCACGCATTTCAGTGGACTGTGCTGTGGGTGATGGTGCTGATTGGGGAACAACGGTGGAAAGGGTAGAATGCACGGGAGCGACCTCTACGATCTTGTCAGCCGGGTTGAAGTGAACCAAAACATACGCGTATTTTGTGCGTTCTGCCGTGATGCCTCTGGTTGTGAATTGGGCTTCGACTTGGGAAAACCAAAGTGCTGGATCGCTTGGCCAGTAAGGTGGGAGTTTGATGCTGATGGAGGTCACCGGTGATGCTGTAGGTTGCACGTCGGAGGTTTAAACTGTTGAAGACGAAGCATGTGACTGTTGACTATCCATTGCTGCGTAGAAGTAAAAATGATTCTCGTCGGGGTCACCAATTTAGCGCGAGTATTGATTTGTTATAGTGTTTGTGAAAATACGTAGAACGCTAGTAGATAATTTGATACATTTATTTTACTTCACAATTGTGGAGTCGTTATTTAATGTCTAGTCATGAGTTGAGCACGATTACTCGCTAGAGCGCAAAGCTAAGTAAGACTGTCTTACTAAGAATATTTACAAGTTATTTTATACGCGTGTTAGAAGAGGCGAGGCGGAAAGCAATTAAGATTAGTGTCAAGATAATTAAGGCGCGTTAATACAATTAGGCTAGAAGTGATAACAAGATATAAATATGTACAAGTGTTGGCTGCCAAGAGGAAATTTTATGTTAATAGTTTTTGCGGCGTAAAGATTAAATCTAGGCGAGTCTACTTCCTAAAAGGTTTAAAATAATATGACTAAAAATAATGTTTGTAGAAGTTCCAAAAGTTATTAATGTCTTTGAGCCAAAACAGCATAATATCCGCTTAGTGATATCGGGTGACTATCACTACAGATCTTTCCAGACACTCCCGGTTTTGTTTGAAACTCGTTTAGGACCCCTTTCTATTCTATTCCTCATTCTATTTCAAATCAATCCGCTCTGACAATGTCTACTGACCTGTCTACTGTTACATTCTGTAAATGAGATATCCGACTGTGTAGGTCTGCAGAATGATATTGAGAATGTTTGTGTGATGTTACTCCGAGTGTATATCCACACCGGGCAGGCTTGAAAAATATGCCTGGCCACGGCGGGATTCGAACCTACGACCTTTGGAATACTAGCCCCAATGCTCTTCCAACTGAGCTACGCGGTCAGGACGGTTCGAGTAAGCGATATTTCGGAACTGAGTCTAGTTCCTTCGATATAAGTGTAATCTAATATTTATGAAATCTGCTGTGTTGGTGTAATGTACTCAGGTGAATAAGATGTTTGTGTGATGTTACTCTGAGTGTATATCCACACCGGGCAGTGACAGCTTTGTCGCCAAGTTCCAGGGTTCGAAATATAACCACACAGGGAGAGATGTAATATACGTGCGTAATTGTTTTGTCAACGTTGTGAAAACCCGAAGTTATAATGATTGTTTTTATAGGGAAAATTAAAAATATACACGTACTCACCTTGGCATATATTCTCTGCTTTTGGTACCGCCAAAAAATATCTTTTACCTTTGCGTTTGTTAAAAAAAAGGGAAAAAATATATGCAAAATCTACATTTTTTAAACTTTTTTACAGGCCAGTTGCCACGGTAACTGATGAATTGATACGTGCTAGCCCGTATCACGGATGCCACGTTCGCATCATAGCGTTTTGCCTAGCGTTTCCAGTCCATTCCTTTGATTGTCTATGGTT